GTGTGCGTGTGTGTGCGTGTGTGCGCGTGTGTGCGCGTGTGCGTGTGTGCGTGTGTGTGCGTGTGTGCATGTGTGCGTGTGTGCGTGTGTGTGCATGTGTGTGTGTGCATGTGTGTGCGTGTGTATGGAGGTTTTATTAGAATGACTTACAGGCTGTGGTCCAGCTAATCCAACAATAGCTAGCTATGAACAGAAAGTTCAAGAATCCAAAAGTTACTCAGTCTACAAGGCTGGAAGTCTCAGCTTGTCTTCAGTAGATACTGGAATCTGAAGAAGTAAGCTGTAATGCCAGTGAAGGGATAGACTTTCTAGCAAGGCAAGAGTAAGCGAGCAAAGAGCAAAAATTTCCTTCTTCCAGGTCCTTATATAGGGTTCCAGCAGAAGGTGTAGAAGGTGTGTCTTCTTGCTTCAAGATCAAGACCAAGGTTTGTGCCTTCCTATTACCTCAAAGGTTCAGACAAAAAAAAAACCAACCCTCTCACAGGTATACCCTCCATTTCTGAACTGTAGTTCATTCCAGATGTGGTCAAGTTAACAGCCAAAAATAACCATCACAAATGCATGATGAAAATGTCACAAAAGGGAGAAATTATATAATTTTCTGGAAAACAGATGGAACTGGAGATTATCATATTCAGTCAAACAAACCAGACTGGGAGAAAAGTATTACATTTTCTCTATATATGGAATCTAGAAGTGTGTGTGTGTGTGTGTGTGTGTGTGTGTGTATTGGACATGAAAGTAGAGGGGTAGTAATGAGGAAAAAAGATAAAATGTTACATGGTTTCTCTCATGTGCAGGCTGCAGACTTAATTTTAATTTTGTATATATATATATATATATATACACACATATGCACATACATACACACATACATACACACATACACATATATACATATAACATGAAAGCAGAAGAATCACCCAGCAGTAATGAAGAGGCTTATGAGAAAGTATATGGAAGCAAGAGGGAGGTATTACTTACTATTCTCATTGTTGTGACAAAGTGCATGACAAAAAAAATACTTTAAGGAAAAATTGGGTTATTTCACTTACAGTTTAAGGAAATCCTGTCCATCATGGTGAAGAAGGCATGGCAGCAAGAGCAAGGGAAAGCTGGCAGTCAGGAAGCAGGAAGTGAACAGGAAGTGGGGATAAACTCTTAAACTTCACCACACCTCTCCCTATAACTCACTTCCTCTAGCAAAGCTCCACCTCCTAAGATCTCCACAGCCTTCCACAGAAGAACAAGAGCTGGGAACCAGGTGCTCAAACACTTCACACTTACACAGCAAATGAGCAAGATGTATTGATACACATTTGGGAAAATGTCGAGACAAAACCCACTGCTTTGTGTGCTAGCTACCACATTATAAAGTATGTAGGTAAGGGAGGTCAGAAGACAACACCCAGGCACCGTGTGCTAGAGTCTCCTGGGAACAACTCGAGAAAAGCTGAGTAACAGCTTTCAGGAGAGGTACTTAATGTCTTCATAGATCTAGCTCAACTATTAAAGTAAGATGGAGAGTTTTACAAGATGATAAATTCCAGAGTCTCTCTTGGAGGGATGGACTCAGTCTGGGTTGCTCCAAGGTGCCAGGGGAGGAAAAAGACACAAGCCATCCCAGGGTAGGGACATAGGAGAGATTAAGAAGGGTCTTCCAGGTGCTTTGGGCAGCAAGGATCATTCCCCAGTACTCAGCTTCCAATACTCAACACCTCTGCAGTCTCCTAACTGCATTCCAAAAAAGGGATCCATTGCTCTGGTTCTAAAACATGGGCCTGCAAAAAGACTGACTAGAGCCTGGGGGGGGGGGGGGGTAGAGGACAAGACAAGAGAACAAGTGGACAAGAGAAC